TAACAATGAATATTTGTTAAAAATTACAATTTTATTGCAGAAGTTTTGTTGTTGTATGTCAATCACATATAGATTGACAAGTTTAATTAAACAATTCACAAGTCCTCATTAGTTACTTATAACAAAATTTTTGTAATGAACATGTTGTCGGGGCCATGGCCGCCTTTTGTCGTCAGAGTTGCAACCGCGGATGGGGGTGGCTTTAACCAATAAATAAGGAAAAATCTCATATAAAGGCACCTGAAATAGGAATATTCCAAATCTAGTTGGTAAATTCAACAAATTTCTAATTGGTCCATGGACCTAATTTAGGGATTGTGAATCTTGGATATTTCATTACATGTTGATGAAATCAAATCGAAACGTAGTACTAAAAAAAATCTTAATAGGGTAGTTATTTTGGACGACTTTTCCTACGTTGACGAAGCCTCTGGTTGTTAGTATAAGTCAAGTGTTTCCCACTTAAATAGACTTTGTAAGGAGGAAGAAATTTGCAGCTGGAAAATATAGATGGACAAGACAACGGACGAGATATAAGGTAAAGGCAAGACATTACATGTCATCCTCTCATAATTTCAATTTGAACCTTAACTTTAAAAAGTATCATTATCTTTTCATCTTTTAGCCATGACCTCAAATGATTTTTTTTTTTGTGATAATCATTATTATTTTAAAAATTAAACTTGATATGTGAATATTCAATGTCGTTTTGCCAACACATAAATTTTAATGTTAACATTTTTTAATGATATTAGGATTAAAATAATACTTTGTACATCAAGGATTAAGATGAAATTTTATACTACATCTTATTCTTACTATAAGAGTTAGTAGAGTAATTTGAGTAGATTAAGAAAATTTGTTATGTTAGTTATTTGTAATAAATAGATTTTTTTTCCTTAAAAACACCCTTACTAATAAAGTATATTGGCTATAATTATTATTATTACGAAGACTATTTTGAAAAAAAAATAAATAAATATGAGAGACAAAGTGAATTAAAATATTATATTTAATATCAAAATAAAAATTAAACGATTTCTTATATCTGATAAAGTTTTGCTTGAGGATGCCATGCACATTTTGGCATAGAGCTTGTGGTGCTTTTCTTTAATTTCATTAAAAAAATAATGAGTTAATACCTTTCTTGTGATATTCTTTTATATTGAAGGTGGATATGTTGAATTCAATACTGAAAGTGCATGCTCATCCTGGTTCAACTACTTGTTGTCATTATATTAGTCTGTTTGTATTTATAAGTCACTAGTAAATTAATTAATGAGTTTTTCTCAATTTCACTCTTTTCGATTTAGTAAATGAGGAAAAAGGTAAAGTAAAGAGGTCAAAAAAAATATAAAACATTTTTTTAATACTCCTTCTTTAATAAGGACAAATATAGAAAAAGTTATCTAGTTCATGCGTTTATTGGTTTGTAGGTTTAGAATATAAGTGAGTTATAAATAAGAACACAATAATATGTGATGAATCTATTGCGTGCCAACTTTCTGGGCACAGACAATCAGAGCCTCTCTAAGACTTGTATGGGCCGGAATAAATTTAACTAACTAAGGCCGATCATTTGGAAGATTGAGCGGAAGGCGTCAGATGTTAGTGTTTAATTATATATGGAAGATTGGTGCTCAGTTAGCTTCTCCATATGATCCAACATGGGGAATGTTAAAGAGAGAAGATGGATAACAAAGAAGGGAAGAAGTATAGAGACTAGAGAAAAGGGAGAAAAGCAAGAAGAAAAGGGGAGACTAGACGACGAAAGGAAGAAGGGAATACTTAGTAGGGAAGAAACTCAAGTGGTTTTGAACCCTAAAATTTAAAACATCTCATTTTGATTTTTAAAATTTAATTTCATTTTGGTTATGGTTTTTATTTTAGGGACAAAAATTTTAAGTGAAACTAAAATGATGTCAAATTTTAAAGACAAAATTTATTGACTTCAAATTTCAAAAGCCAAAATTAAAATGGGATTAAATTTCAGAAACCAAAACTAAAATAATGTCAACTTTTCAGGACTTAAAAACAATATTAACCCAAAAATGAGTAAGGAAACTCTATCCTACTAAAAATTAAATAGAAATAAAATTAAAAAAATACAAGGCCACGCAATAAGGTTGCCGGCCCTATTCAGTGTGACAGGGCGTGGCCCACATCCTTTTTCAAACGTAATAGAAAACCGTGCAACGCGGAACACACCGACGCGTGTTCATTGGATGGGCTGCTTTCAAAATTGTTACTTTTAATTTGAGTAAGTAATACGTTAACCCATCCACATGTTGCACACTCACACACCCTTTTTTTTTTTTTTAAATGATAACTAAAAGTCAATAAATGAAAACCCGGCATACAATAACAGGCTAAACAAGCCTACTGTCATTCGTCACCGTCCGCCTCAAAATGTACAGGAAGAGAGTGATCAAGGACAAACGCACACACCTTTGATTATGATACAGTCCGTGTGTTTTTATTATAAAATTCAAATTTTTGAATTAACTTGTCATATTTTATTAGATTTACTTTGAGTTTATCTGAATATAAAATGTATTTTTATTTATTTTATCTTTAATTAATATATTCCTTGTTATTTTTTATTATTTTTTTTCACTCTCACCAACCTATTTATAAATAAAGACATATTTAAAAAATATATTTTTATATATTTATTATTTTTAAATAACAATTTGATATTTTATAAATTTTACAATAAGGGATAGAGGGAGTAAAACCTACAATCTTTTTTAAGAAAGGAGGAATGAGGTATCAACTGAGTTATAAGCTCCTACCTTCCGTATGAAAGGATATATGAGGTGTCATTTGAGTTATAAACTGTCGACTTTCAATTTCAAAATTAAATCCAAGTCCAAAACAAGCCAATAAATCTATTTCGAATCATCATTAATGCTGATATTTGCCTAAGATAAGTAAAATAAATGCAGCAGAATATGTTTCTCCCTTACTGTTCAACTTGATCCAAAGTCTGCTTCATGATGCATGTTATGTTAGAGTAGACTACTCCTGCTGTTGGTGCTGCTGACGTACAAAATAGATTTCAAATCTTTTTGGGGCCTCTTAAACAGTAATATTAGTTCTAGTCCTAATTATAAAATTTTTTTTATAACCTACAAACGATATCTTATAATTGAGATAGGAAGTAGTAGGCAATTTTGTGACTTTACTTTGTTGTGTTTCACTTTTTATTTCATTATTTATTTTTAAGGAATCATGAAAATATTAATTCCCCCTTTAAGCTTGGGGTTGATTTAACAATTTTGAAAAAGTGGGTTTCCCTCTTGAATGTGATGGCCGGGGAGGAGCCGTCAAATTTAGTTAGTTTTGTATTCTCTATATATATGTGTGTGTGATAAAATGCTGATAAATACTATAGAAGTAAACACACACACACACACACAGATATCTGGAGAGACTCGGTATTTCAATCATGAAAAATAGTACCCATGGCTGCTTTTGACCTTAATGAGTTGAAGTTTTTTTTTTTTGGGACAAGTAATGCATTGAAAGTCAACCACTCGAAGCCAATACTTAAGGATGAATCAACGATTTTGTTAGAGCCTAGAAAAATGGTTTTTCATTCTTAAACATAAAAAAACTTGCCTTCACAGGTTGACTTGGAATAGTTTTCATCGACACAACGGATAAAATTAAATTAATTCAAATAATCAATTAAATAAATCAACAACTAAGTGATAAGGATTTCAATCATTTAAGTAAGTGGCTAGGGGGTTTGAATCTCATCTCGTAAATACTGCAATGTAATTAAGATATCTCTAAGCTTTCAACATCTGAAGGTGATTAATTATGCTCGGCAATCAATCACTACATATTTAAAAAAAAAAAAACTAAAAATATTGCAGCAGTTACAAAACGCTACTACTAAATTACCATTAAATTTACAATTATCAACTAAATAAAGCCCGAAGTATACAATGATTGTATTAGTGCCAACGAAGCATGCTTAAATTTTATAATAGAAAAATGATTATACTAAAAAATTAAAAATTAAGCATAATGGTTTGTTAGTATTTAATTGGAAGTTATCATTTAAATTTACTGAGTTAGTATTTTCCATCAAATTAGACTAATGTTATTAAGATCGATATATGGGTGGCAAAATATACCTTCTAAATGTAAGGGTCTGTAATGAAATTTGATGTGGCCTTAAATAACCAAACATATAATTTAATCCTAAACAGATCAAGTGATGAGAATGATCTCAAAGTTGATAGGAGTTTGAATATAATCTCTCATCATAAATAATATAGCAACCTAATTAAGATATTTCTATTTTTCACTCTCAATACCTTAAAGGAGACTAATTATGGTCTGTTGTACGTGGAGTATACTCTGCAACAATTAAGTTGAATCATATAATAAGCCCAGTGATTAATTATTAATGAGAGGGGGAAAGGGAGACTATGCTTGAGAACCCTCCACAGACAACTGCTATATAGAATATCCTCATCTCCCCTTTCACATCATATAAACTAACATTTGGGTTTTGGCCCTCTTATATATAATAACGTGCTGGCTGCGTCAATTATCAATAATAATTTAAAACTTTTTCCCACTTGAGAAGAAATTTGCTCCACCTAATAGACTATATATATATATATATATATATATTAAATGATCGAAAATGACATTATTATTCATTCATATCTAAATCTAATCGTGTGATACCTGCCAAATGAAAAAGAAAAAATATTACGTTTAACACTGTCACAAAAATTAAACATGGCCCATTAGTAACCACTAATTGCTTAGTCTACTCCAATATTTTAGAAATTTTTTGACCTTGAAAAGACATTCAAACATGAAACTTCTCATGGCTATGATCCTCTATTAAATTGAATCGTCAGACGAAATGGGTTGGTTTAGAAAAACAATGATATTGAAAAGAAAGAGCCTACAAATTGAAGTCGTTAATGAGTCGTAGCTTTAAACCCCACGTATGAAAGCTTTGGTTGAAAATGAATCCATTCTCTTCAAACCAGAAAATGGAAACTTCCAAAGTTTCAAGGAATCCCACCATGTCTATCACCATTTTCTTGCTGTATTTGTCCCTGAACATAGCATATTCAGACAACAAGAACACAAGTGATGTCGAATTCTTGTTTGATGGATACTTCAAGTTGGGAGCAGGCAGTAATCAAGAACTCGAAGATTCCAACATGTCAGCAAGTGTAATATATGCCGATGGTGGCCTAAGTGAAGCCGGGCAAGTCTTTTACAATCTTCCTCTTCCATTCAAGAATTCCAATACTACTCCTGTCGTCTCTTTCTCCACCACTTTTATCTTTGCAATAGTAGCCACCGATCCTCAATTTCTCGGCCATGGACTCGCCTTCGCTATCTCGCCTACCAAGGGTATTCCTGGAGCTCAGCCAAACCAATATCTTGGCCTGTTCAACGCCACCTCCAATGGTGAAAGTTCCGATCATATTGTGGCAATAGAGCTTGACACTGACCAGGATTTTCAATTTGGTGATATGGATGATAACCATCTCGGGATTGATATTAATGGGTTGGACTCCGTCAATAAATCTTCTGCAGGTTACTATACTGATCATGGTCTTTTCAGACAGATAGATCTTACGAGTGGAGAACCGTTTCAGGTTTGGGTTGAATATAATAGTACAGATCAGAAACTCAGTATTACAATTCATCCAATAAACATGCCTAAACCTGAGACCCCTCTTGTCACACTGAAAAGAGATCTTTCTGCTTATTTCTTTGAGTTTATGTATGTTGGATTCACATCCTCTACCGGGTCAAATTCATCTCATTATATATTGGGTTGGAGTTTCAGGATGAATGGTCAAGCTGAGGAGATTAAACTTTCTCGCCTTCCTGACATTCCTGGAGTAATTTTAGATCCAAATGAAAGGGTCGGGAAAGGAGACAAGAAAATGTTGATAATTATATTATCATCATCAGCAAGTGCAGTTATCCTTCTAGTCTTGATTATTTATGGTGTGCTTTTGATTGTACGGAGGAGAAAATTCATTCAAGTTGTTGAAGAATGGCAAGTCTTGTATGGGCCTCATAGGTTTACCTACAAGGACTTGTTCGTTGCAACAAGAGGGTTTAGAGAGAGCCAACTTCTTGGAAGAGGAGGTTTTGGAAGAGTATACAGGGGAATTCTCCCATTGTCCAATGTTCAAATTGCAGTGAAAAGAATTTCTCATGATTCAAAACAAGGGATGAGAGAATTTGTGGCAGAAATCTCAACTATCGGCCGTCTCAGGCATCCAAACTTGGTGAGACTTCTTGGCTATTGTAGAAGAGGAAAAGAACTATTCTTAGTTTATGACTATATGCCTAATGGAAGTCTAGACAAGTTCCTTTACCGCCTGCCCAACAACAACACACTCGACTGGAAACAAAGGTTCAAGATCATCAAAGATGTGGCTTCTGCACTCTTATATCTTCATCACCAATGGGTTCAAGTTGTTATCCACAGAGACATCAAGCCAGCCAATATACTAATGGACAACAACATGAATGCTAGACTCGGAGATTTTGGTCTGGCTAAGTTATGTGACCATGGAAATGATCCTCAAACATCTCTTGTAGCAGGAACTCCAGGCTATATGGACCCAGAAATTGTGCAAAGAGGAAAATCAAACACATATACCGATATATATTCATTTGGGGTGTTGTTATTGGAGATTGCTTGTGGAAGAAGGCCGGTTGAAACTCAGACCTCACCGGAGAAAGTTTTGCTGATGGAATGGGTTATGGATTGTTGGGATCAAGGAGACATTTGTGAAGCAGTTGATAGCAGATTGGGGGATGCATATGAAGTGGATGAAGCTGAATTGGTTCTCAAACTTGGCTTGCTATGTTCACATCCTATTGTTTCAGCTAGGCCTACGTTATCTAGTATTGTGGAATTCTTAGATGGAGATTCTCAGTTGCCTGACAACTTGTTGGATTTAATCAAGTCCAGAAATTTAGGTGGCTGGTCCCGTCGAGCATGTTCTTTATTATCCTCTAATTTTCCTATTAGCCATGCTTCTATTGCTTATTTGACTTTCACGGAACCATTTGCCTCCTCCGGCCGCTGATACATTGATTATTATGTACGTGTAAATAATTAAAGAGAATTATAGTTTTGTTCTTGTTTTCATCTTTATCTTCTTCGTTCCTGCCACTCTTGTTTAATTTGTTGAAAAGTCAATTTTGAGCGACCCTTTCCTGCATCACCGTTTTATTTTGTAATTATGTTTTAATTAAGAAAAATTGATAATTGACTTAGTCAACTAACTAATATTAATGTCAGAATCGTTTTGGATGTTTGTATTTTGGCCTGACACTTCAAAACAATCCCGCAGTTTGCACAAATTTACAAGATTAAAGTATATGCTTGGTTCTCTAATTTTACATGAAATTTCGGCTTATAGCCTCTTTATACATTTTTTATTCTTTAATCTCAACACCTTAGTCTCATTTAATGAAAAATATTGATGTAGTAAATTTAAATGGTTTATCAATTATTAAAGCATGCTTAAATTTTAGTCTTTTAATTTATTCAAATGCTTAATTTAATCATTTAATTATATTAAAAGATTAAAATTTAAGCATTCTTTTGGGACATTTAATCATTCAGCCACCATTTAAATTTTCTGAGTTGGTATTTTTCATTAAATGAAACTAATAATATTTAGATTAAATGACTAAATATATGCATTATAAACTCGAAGTCTAAATTAAATATTACTCCTCCAATCCTCAATAGAGGACCCAATTGTTGAGTTAATTTTGGTCCTATATATAAGACACATTTCTCATATTTATCAGTTTTCTCTAAATTAGCCCTATGGATACTCCCTCAATCATAATCAAATAGAAGAGAGAGATGTGGTATTTAGAAAAATGATTATGATGTTTTAGAAAAAACGTGTTACATTTCTTATAATTAACTAACTTATCTAACTTTCTTAATCTAATCAAATTAGTTAAATGGGTCTTATATTACAGAGCCGGAGAAGTAATAGTATTAAATAGGCAATCAAACGTATACTTTAACTGTACATATGATTATTAAATTCTTTTTTGGTGTACGTGTTTTGATTGAGGATATTATATCTGACGTAGAATAAGATTCAATTTTATCCTGAAAGTTGTTGCTTAAGAGCTATGGCCATCTGAAAGCTTTTTAGAAGTAATAGTGTCCCGAAAGTATTAAAAACGTAGCACACTTATCTCCAATCTTTATGTCACAGTATTACGCCGACAAACACTCAGATATCCTCTACCTTCACCTGTTCAAATTTGCAAGACGCCTTAGTTTCTTAATAATAATAAGCTGACAACTGAGAAAAGGAAAGAGAAGTTAAGATACAGCATGAGATTGCAGGAGCAAAAACCTGCCTTTAGTCCATTTAAAAAGCTCGCAAAGAAAAGTGCAATCTTAATTATTATTCTTTGTGATAAAACTCGTGGGAAAGGAAATACAAGAATTCATTTTTCAAATGTTTGCTCATTCCTTAAACAAATAAGAACATTACTGATTACCTTGAATGGAAAGAAATCTTAGGTGAGAATATTCACATCCCTTGTTTATTAGCTCGATCGAAATGGGTCTCATTAGTTTGCTGGAACAAGAGCCACTCCTGTCGCTCCAAGAGCTCCAGCCACCGACTTTCTTTCAATCTGAGTATGCAGATTGTTTGGGCTTGATGCATAATTATTGCGAACATGAAAATAGTGTCAGCCTGTCAGGGCGTTAAGAGGCCAATAAAAGGGAAACGAAAACAATAGTGATGAACGGTTTTGAAGAGATTATAGCATATACAGTTGTAGTTGCCGAGCACCCCTGTACTTAGTACTAAAAAACAGAGCAATTACGAAACAACAAGAAATGGGTTGTTCCAGCTCTGTTACGAAGCTAATGGCGCCTCCAATTATAGAGGCTTCGTCACCCTGTTTTCGGGACATAACAAACGAAAAGAAGTAATGAATTTGGATACGGATCAAAGAAGAAGGAAATGAAGCAAAGAGTGAGAATTATACTGACCCTTTGAACATAAGAAGGAGGCATCGAGGATCGGAGCACGGCCAGGTACTTACTCATCTGCTTGCAGCGATTAAGTTAGATGGCAATGTGAGTCATCCCATGACTCCTTCACATCTTGCAACACCGAAGAGTAATCAAAATTCACATTGCCTGTGATCCCAGCGAACCCTCTCTCTTGCTCCGCTTCTAAACCATGACCAATTCCTAACATGTAACTATAGTTGAATGGATCTTGCGGAAAGACCACAGCCTCTGTAGCCATTTTTCGCTTTGACGAAGCAGATAAGAAGTTTTTTAGGTTATAAGGAGCGAAAAAGAAAGGAAGATTAACTATTATGAGATGAAATGGTTGAAGGTTTGGGAAGAAGGAGGTGCAGTGGAGCTTGGATTTCAACGAGTGTGGTGGTGATAATAAGATGATGCTCACGCGGCATGATAGGTGAGTAACACATGGCATTAACTCCTATCTATCAGAGCCAATTCAATAAAATTGGGTCAACTAATTGTCAAAATTAACTTTGCTAGTAGGTGGGGTGATATTGCTACGTTGTTAAAATTTTTGAGGCAATATTGCTCCTAAAAATTTTTTTGCCACCCACGGCTCCTAAGTGACAACTTCCAGAGGAAAATTGGCCCTTATCCCATCTGAATTAGTCAAAATAGTTTAAATTTATAATTAAACAAAATAATGTAACCTAAAAAACAAATATTTAAGAAAATTTTTTTATATAATATATATTGATTAATTATTAAACATATATTACCTCTGGTCCTTAATATAAAATCTAGTTGGCTAATTTAAATAGATTAAAGAAATCAATTATGTTAGTTATTTGTAATTAATAGATATTATCTTTCCTAAAATATCCTTACTAATCAAGTGTATTGACTAAAACTACTACTATTACAAGGAATATCTTGAAAAACAAAAGATAAATATGAGTGACAAAATGAATTAAGATCTTATATTTATTATCAAAACAAAAATCAAACAAATTTTTATATTAAAAATGGAGATAGTAATTACAAACATTTGAGCTGTAAAAATCTAATATCAATTCTTCGTCAAAAGATTATCCATTGTCATAACGCATGACTTTGGGTAAACAGTAGGCAAAATGTCAAAATATAATTTTCAATTAATTTCATTAAAATTAGTGAAAGAATTTATAAGAATGCCAAAACGTAGTAATTTTCTAAACTGACAAAGACCCTGGTTGTTACCAATTCAAGTGTTTCACATGTGAATAGAATTGTGATGAGGATGAAATTTGTATGTGGAATATATGGACAAGAGATTCTCAAACTAGTTTACATGCAAGTGAATCTGAGGAGAATTACAATCATGTCTCAATAAAAAAATTTAATTACTCATGATTCGAAAGACCGGACCAAACCAGTATCAGAAACTAGTCACCCGGCCAATAATCTAGTCTAACTTGGCTTTTGAACTAGGAAAGTATAGAACTAGAGTGACTTGCTTTGAACCAGCATAAACCAATAATAATCCAGCTGCTAGGTGAGGTGGGTTATCCGGGTTAATGTCTATTTTTTTCCAATGGTCATGAGTAAGAGAGGGGGAGAGAGTGAGAGAGCCAGAGAGGAAAAGGACTGAATAATAGAGAGAGAAGAGTAGGTGGGTTTCTGGTAAGAAAAAAAAGGAAAGAGGTGATAGAGGGAAAGGGACTATGAGAGTACCTGAATAATGGATAGAATATTGGACCTGTTTAGAATAATTTATAAATAATTTTTTAATCATAATTTACAAAATATAAGATAAATATAAAAAATAAGTTTCATCTCAATTTACGCAAAACGTAGTCATGAGTGTTTTAAAACAGTTTCACAAATAAGGAAAGAAGCTTGAGCGAGAAAATGACAAAAGGAAAGGGACAAAGATTAGTTTAGATATAGAGAGATAAAATAGAAGGAAAGAAAAAAGAAAGAGAAGAAAGTAGAAGAATTCTCTGTTCAAAAACCAATAAAAAAAAGATGGCTAAAGATCAAAGAATTAATAGGTCTATGCCTAGGATTGAGACACTATGCCGCATCAGATCAAAAAAAAAAAAAAGACACTATGCCGCGGGCCTTGCATAACTTTTGTTCTTCGGTTTTCTATGGCCTTATAATCTTTAACCTTACAGGCGATTTTTATTGACAAAATTTGGTTAAAAATCCCTATTTAACAAATTAATATAGAAATGAGACTTGCAACAAATTCAAAGGCGTAAGTCCCTCAAGTACCAATAAGTGTGGTAGAAAAAAAACCTATGTTCTACCAACATATGCTGATTGTATATGACAGATCTTTATTTACATATCACGGATCTTAATTGTCTATAGTGGATACTTAATTGTATATGGAATCTTATTGTATATTACGAATTCTAATTGCATATGACGTATCCTCATTTGCATATCATGAATTCTAATTATATATGATATCTTATTGTATATCACAAATCCTAATTGCATATTATTGATCCAAACTTGAGTATTGATGATTTTTTTTTTTTGGATTACTTCATCCGGTATCCCAGGGAAATAGGCGTCTTTCAGCCGTGACAGCGACCCCAGACTAGTCCGGATTCGGGGGCTTGCAAGGATCCTTTTGGACAGCGTCCCCTGGCCCCTTGGAGTGCTGCGTTCCCACATCTCGAACTCGAGATCCGTGGTTAAGCTAGAACAGCCCTAGCCAGCTGACCTAATCCCGCGGGGTTGAGTATTGATGATTTTAATCGCATATTGTGAATACTTAGTTGTATATGGTATCTTATTGCATGCTACGAATCCTAATTGCATATAATTTATCCAAAATTGTATATCGGTGATTATAATTACATATGTGGATATCTAGTTGCATGGGAGACCTTATTGCATATCATGGATCCTGATTGTATATTGTTGATCCCAGGTTGTGTATGCATAATTTTAATTGCATATTTTGAATATCTAGTTGCATATGAGACCTTACTACATATTACGGACCCTAATTGCACATCATTGACCCAAGTTTGCATATTGTTGATCTAATTGTATATATGCTACTCCTCCGGTCCTTAATATAAGATCTATTCAACTAATTTGATTAGATTAAGAAAGTT